ATGCAATATTTTCTTATTTTCAGCTACACATTCTTTTGTGGCAGGGAAGACTTTACTGAAGTAGTCACAGTGTTATGAGACTTTAGCTCCTCTCATCAGCAACAGTATACTTGTGTTGACATGCTCAGGAACCCCTTAAGCCTTTCTTATGTCATGGCTTTGTTCTGTCTTTCTGTGAGATCCTCTGTAATGAAACAATTTTGGTAACTTTCCCTAGGAGCTCATTTACTTTTATTAGTGAGTGTGTTGATCTTGGGTACATTTGGCTTCCTTTGTTGGCTTGCTGTACTTCCTAGAGAACTGAAATTTAATGATTGATAAGGTGATAAAGGGTCGAACAGAAGGATAAAATCTGAGAGATAAAGGCTGAGTAAGAGAAATAAAGTTTGGAAAAAGTGACATAGTTTTTAATTGAAACATAAATTTGAGGAACAGGATTATGAGATTTCATTTCAACAATGCATATGGGGACGAGTTTTAAGAGGCACAGTCACTGGATTTTGACCCATTCTGGGCTGATATGGCCCAATGTGCAAAGCTGTATTTAAGTAATCTAAAGGCTGTAAAGGCTGAATAGAGTTGACAGTCTATAGAGCAAAACAGAGGAACGGTTAGTTGCAATATGCACCATTCCGGTTAAAGCAAGCACCACCTTATCCATCCCTTTTCATATTAACGTATGATACTGATCGTGATGGATGAAGTTTATGTTTGTCTGCCCATCAATTTGGTGGGACCCCCAGCAGAGCAGATAAGAGTAGGTCTGAGCTGTCTCTGTAGCTCTCAGGAAGGCTGGGCTAGAGCAGCATCACTTATTCTGTCACCTCTGTTTGAGCTACCTTAAAGTTTTCTCTTCCTGTTACTCTTCCTCCTCCTGGCCCCTTTCATACCCTTCCACGTCAGCATACTCACCTATTCCCAGTTGTCAGGGATGCCACAGAGGGTACTTTCTACAGTCTACTCACTCACATCTTAAAATATCAGAAGCTGAAAATTCTGTTAAAGGACTGAAATGAGGAAGAGGAGGAGAAGGGAACAAAGAGAAGAGGAAGAAATCATCCTCCATTTTCCAGTGAGATAGTATATTAATAGAATCAGTAAAGTGTATGTCCCATTTGGTGTTCACACAGCAAAATCGACACTTGTTTTTTCTCAGAAGTCTAGTGAAGACTCTTGCCCAGATTTAACTATTTAACCAGATTTTACTGATCAGAATTAAAAAAAAAATCTAGTAAAATTTATCATTTAACCTCAAATGGAAAGGAAAAGTATTTATAAAAACACTTTTTCTTTCAGAAAGCATTTGGCATTTAACTAAGGACTCAAAAATCCAAAGATGTGGCTTATAGCGCCTCTAGTTCATGAGACTAACACTATAATAAGAATTAAAAATAAAAATTGTAGTGGATTATGTTCATTTTATTTGCCTTCTGATTCTTAAAGCTCAATCCTTTAAGTACCTTTTTCTACCACAGCAGATCACAGAATACATTAGACAAAAATGAACGTTGTATTTCCAAGTATTTACGTGGTTTAGGAACCTCGTATTCCAAGAAGACACTAGTGTCTAAATGAGATGAAGAAATCACAAGTTACTTAATGGAATCATTAAATACACTTTAACTTCAAAAGAAGAAAGAAGTGGGGCAGGAGTAAATCAAAGAGAAATAACATTGTAGTAATATCACTGAGTCTGCTAAGTACAAAATATGCTTAGAAAAACATATGAGCAGTCAAAATCTTCATCACCTCATCCCCGAACTCCCAGACATGCTCACTTCTCACTTCATATTGTAAACCGACTACTATAAGCAGCCTCAGGTTGACTTGGATTTATCAATCTAATGCACATCTATAGTAACACTGAAGGAAGGACGTGGTAGTAATATCAGCCACTTAAAGCCTCCAGATCTAAAAATGTGTATTTTTCTTCAGGCCTTTCCAGAAAGTACAGTGTAGTTTGCATATCACATTTACCTTTGTTGTGGATGGTAAATGCAAAGCTTTCACGATATGAACTCATAATCTTTTGGAAGGTTTTTCATTTTTCTTTAATACTTGAGGAAATACTCTGAGATTGCCATGCATATTGGTATTATATTTAAATTTCTGTTATACAGAAACTCAAAGGTGTTCACCATTTGTTAAAACAGAATAAGGTATTCTGAGCTAGGCTTGGTGGAATCATTTTATAATCATATCATAGAGCCTAAGAACAGCACTGAAACATCCTAACAAAGACTTTACCTCTCATGCACTAGTAGTTACTGTTATTAAACCAAAGTAAAACTATAGGAAACAACTTTTCCCTGCAAATAGGTCCCACAAAACAGTAAACCTGTAAAAAGAATTGCCTTGCTTTTATTGTTTGAGGAGTTAATTTAGGCTTCCATGCACTGAAAACAGTCTCTTAAAAAATTATCTGAGTTGTGCATTACGTGTCTTGGGTTGCCCCTGTTCTCTAAACAAAGCACCAGGTCTTCATAAGAAAGCAAGTACATAGTTGCACTATGCAAAATTTGAGAGGGAAATAAGAAGATCTCAATTTGACTGGTAACATTTTCCCACTACCTTTTGCATTTTTTTTCAAGTTCACAGGAAAAAAAGACCAAATATCTAAGGATGAAGTTTGGAGGGCAAGTTTTTGTAGAACAAAGAAAAAGTTTTTTGGAAGTCATGACAGCTAACATTTTTTATTGACTAGTAATGAAATTTAAGACTTTCATGAATGGATTTCTCCCACAAGCTGTTTGTAAAGCTCCCAGTTTTCTGCCCATCTACTCAGCCAGCAGAGAAACATGGGAAGCTACACAGCTGGCATTGTGGTTTATACTTTGATGCAAATGATGAAAAATTTGAAAACTTACTGAGGTGAGAAATGTAGCGATGTTTTAAATATACTTATTTTTTATAATACAGACTACAAAAGACTTATACAAATGAAGGATATAGCAAAAAAAAAAAAAAAAAAACAAAACAAAACAAAAAACAAACCAATATTTTCTGAAAGGCAAAATAAGAATATAATGTTTCTTTTGCCTCATGTTCCAGATACCACACACTCCAAAGCTTAGAAGTGTAATTGACAGTTTTGTCACTGTTGACTTCTTTCTAACAGTTGACTCTTCAACTAAATACTAGAAAGGATTTATTTTAAAATGGATAAAAATCTGGGTCTTAATGAGATAAATATTAGTGAAGCATAAACAACTCTAATTCAACAGTGACTCCAACTCTACATGAATGACATCAGAATAAAGATACCATGAGAAATACAGACCTATAAGAATATTTTATCAGGTTGTAGGTTTCTATAGGAAAGTAATGTGAAGCTGGAAACAAGCCAGTATAAGATGTCATTTTAAACACATTTATTTTTTATTACTCTATATCAGTATTAAAATTCCACAAACCTGTATCACAGAGTTGAGCTGCAGCACTTTTTTTTTTTTGAAAATGTTAGTGATCTTATTTTGGTCATTGCTTCACTGTTTTCTCCTTTCTTTTCTGAGTTTTTCAAGGTCAAAAATCAGAGTCTTTTATACTTGCAAAAATATTTAAAACAAACCTATTCTTAAATTACTATCTTGAAACAGACAGAGCACAATGGTAGTGCAGCTATGATATAGATACAGATATACCTGACCTGCATCTAAGTGTACTCCAAAACCATAAGTCTGGGAAAATGAATGTAAAGATAGCTTCTCTATTTATGTGTAAGCTGACTTTTACCAGTGAGATCACATCTAGAAGTTGCACAGTCAAGATCACAAGCTACAGCGTCACCTGAACATTGCTCTACTCTTTCCTGACCCAAATTGTATATTTGTATGGTTCAATTCATATTAGCATAATCTTGGAATTTGTGCACCTGTATCTACTGTTGCCCTAGACGTACTCTGCCCCAGACAGTTTTGAATACAGTCTCAGTAAATAAAATATCATTCCTTATTCTTTAGCAAGCCAAAAAGGAAAACATGAATATGATCACCCTCAATCAACCATAAGCACGAGTCTTACATATCAGCAAATTGAGTCTTATTTCAGCAGTTTAGTTCTTTCCCAGAGTGCCATATTGCTGCATAGTTTCTAAGATTCTGGCTTGAAAAAAGAAAAGCTACAGCAACAGAAAAAAGAAACAAACCAAAACTGTTCACCCTTTCCTCCCTATCTTGTAAAACATCCATCAAAATCAGACAAGGTAGACCTATTGCTCATGTCTAAAAGAATCCATACGACATTGCTTTATGTTAGATTATTTGCTTTCTACAGATTGCTCTAAGGAATGAGATAGATTATTTAGACAGCAAAACAGGAGTCTTAGTTGAAGATGAAAGAAAATTCTCATTATCTAATAACAAAACAAAATATTATGCTAAAATAATATTGAAATAAACATGCACTCAGGCTCAAACTTCGTACAGGTAAGAGTCTTTTAATATAATAATTTACATAGTGGCTACTAAATTTCTCTGCTAAGCTAATTATTTATATTTGTTCCATTGCTTTCACAATGGTGCAATGCTTCTGGGTGTAGCAGAGATTCATTAACACAATGTAAAGTAAATAAGTCAGTCTCTTTTTGCCAAAATCATGTTTTCTGTAAAGAAAACAACTTACTGCACAAAATTAAGAGCTGCTTAGAACTGAAATTGCAATGGTCATTTGTGTTTGTGGAATATAGATTTTGGTTTTGGCAGTTAGCTGGGACTGTGCAAATGCTCTAGACTAAGAAGCTGAAACGAGCATCTGCTTTAACAAAGTTCAGTGCAATGCTCTTTGTATTTCCCTTATGTTTTGAGATACATAACTAAAATTTTACTTTAATCTGACCTCTGTCATATCGCACGTATACAGTAACAAGCCACAGCTACTAGTCTGAGATGATTATTAAGAGGAAACCCTGATAGAAAGAATCAGTGACACACGATTCCATAATCACCTGCAATTGAAATAAACCTGGAAACTGTCAATAAACAAACTGATTTGAATAGACTTACCTGTTTAATGTTTTTAAAAGTTCAATGCTTCCGCTTTACCATACAAATCTTTTAGCCACTGGGTGAAGTCAAAACAGAGCACTTGATCATGATAATCCCAACCTGTCATGGACAACAGCATCTCTCATGGCACCACACTCAGAATGCTTGAAACGAACCTGGAACAGACAGATATTCTTACATTTTTATTGAAATATACTCAACTATGTTCTAGGATGAGGAAACATGAACACTTAATTGGTGAATACATGCAGGAGTGCAAAGCCATAAATATCACCTGGTAAACCTGAAGACCAGAGACCGCGAACCCCACATTCCAGACAACCTGCTTATGCCGAGTATATGCAGCTCTCTTGTACTTAGTGACCCATTAAAACTGTCAGGATTAATAAACAGTATTTATCTTTTTTTAAAATTACAGCTTTTCATACATAGACCTGTAAGTTCTTTTTCAGATTAATTTCAAAAGGAAGATCATATTCTGAACCAAAGAGAATCTTATATGAGAAAGGTCATGGAAAGGATTCAGGAAAATTATAGTTAGTTGTTCCATGAGAGCTTTGTCAAGTACCATTTCTGACAGTTTCTTTAATAGAAAATGTAACCTGTAAATGGATGCAATGCAAACCTGTACCAATCGCATGCTCTTCTTTTTACTAAGAAAAGGTATGTAAACAAGTAAAATATTCAGGTGGCATAATTCAACAGGATTTTAATGCAGCCAGGGAAATTTACAGTTTTATCTAGCACTCTGCTTCTGTATAGTTTTAAGTTACCTTGAGAAAATTTCCTCCCATTTATAAGTAGCTTTTAATAATTAATTTTTTTTTCAGACTTTTAACTACAGTGCGTCTACCTCCTTCAATAAAGAGATGATTAATTTAGATGAGATGAATTTACTTAATAAAGATATTTTCTCATCCTTGTTCTCTGTCATGGAAATCTTCAGGTCAGTGCACAGATATCATGAGGAATACCAGATGTCACCCAGATCATGGCCAGTTCATCCAGAAGATACGCTGATCTGGGCTTTCCTTAAGAGACCCAGCTTGTTATTTCAGTCCCAGTTGAAAATTAAAAAGTGACTGAGTGCTAGTCCTAAACATCTCTAAAATTCTGGATGATCTCTACCTTTCCCACTAACAGGAATGTCTCCTTCTGGAGGGTTGCAAATGGTTTCTAATAGAGCACAGAGTTGCGTGCTAGTGTGTACATGTGTATGCAAGATAAAAATGAAATATTCCACCCAAATTCAGAAATATCCTAAGTAGAATGCCACTAGATTTCCTGTCTAAGTTTGGAGATTATTTTACTATTGTGTTAACATAGAGTATGACTTCTCAGCAGACCAAATTTGTTAGACTGCAACAACTGAGCTAAAACAAGTGGCTCAAAAGATAAACTGCTATTCAATCTCCACCAGTCATTAGCTGTTTTTCTAAGTTACACAAAGAGAAGGTATTTCTAAATAAGGGACAAGATTACACTTAGTCCGGTTTTAAAGTGAGAGTTCAGTGCATCTGAGGTATGATAAACCACTATGAGAAACAAAGTTTCAAAGTATACAAAATTTATCATATCTTCCATGATTTCAAATGGGAGAGCAACCACATCAGAGTTTTAGGAATGTATCAGAATAACTGATCAGGAATCACAGTTCTGATGTCTCATCATACACCAGGTCAGATGAAGGAATTGTGAGAGGATAGTGGAAAGTACCTTGAAAGTCAACTGAATAGCTTGTATTGAGATATTAATGGATCTTTTTCATCCAATCTAATGCATGCAGATCAGTCACTGACTGATGTGATGTATGGTTCTCCATAATCAGATGCAGGACTGAATTATAGTGAGACAGAAGAAGGAACACACTAACAGATCTCAGAATAAGTCCACCAAACTCAAAAAACATGGGGAAGGGTGCTTTGTCTCTGGTTGTGATTTCAATAGTGACATCTCTGATGGGGCAGCAAGAAAGTTTTACCTAGAAATGTAATAGCATAGACACATAAAGAAGTCTAAACAAGAAGTAAAGCTTTTATAAATATCTTCCAGAAAGATGATGGAAAAGTTTTATTCAATTATCGTAAAATTCTCAGAGTATGTCAGACTGTATATGGCTGAAGTTAAAAACTCCAGATATTCCTCTAAATTTGAACTATATTTTTGCAGTGTATTTTTGCATTATTCATAGTATAAAGAGAGCAATCGGCTGCAATTTCAGATTTGAATATGTCAGGATTTGTATGACCAAACTGAAGAAACTTTGATCTTTAATACAACTGAGAAAGACAGAAGGTAATAGGATCAAGAGATAAATCATCTGGATAAAGGTCAAGATCTCCAGAAACTAGAATTTGTTAAAAACATAGGCAGGGGGAATTCCTGAGTCAGAATAAGGGAAACCGGGCTGAAATAGAGGCAGAATCTATGGATTTGGTTACTAAGACAAGAACTTTTGTCTGATCTTGGCCAATCACTTCTCTGAAGAAAAAGAAAACTCCTTAAAACTAAGACAACTTGGAGTAGAAAAAGAATCAAGGAACAGTACCTAAGCCTATGATATGTACTTTTCTCTACCAATGATGAAGATACAGGCAAAAGTCCTGCAAATATGTTAACCTCAATTAACATATCTGTGCCCACAAAGTAAGATCACTAGCTACTTCAGCATACCACAGAATAAGATTCCTCCTTCAGAATGCTCCAAAGCCTCCTTTCACCCTACTTGAGTGTGAAATCTGGAATGGAGCATGAAACATAGGCCAGTGCTTTAAAAACAGCGTATGCTCACCTGTGGAAAGAGACAAAGAATGTGGAGCAGACGGTGTACAAGGCAATCACTAGGTGAAAGCTGTCAACAGAATTTACAGATGAAAAAATCAAATATGTGTCAACTGGTGGCTTTGTATGTTATCCTATAAATAGCTCTGAAGACAGAGCAGAAAAAAACAAATAAAGTGAAAGAAAAGCTGTGTTTGATGAGCACCCCTGTTGTGCTGGTTTTGGCTGTGTTGGAGTTAATTTTCTTCATAGCAACTAGAATGGGGTTATATTTTTGATTTGTGCTGAAAACAGTGTTAATAATACAGGGATGTTTCAGTTACTGCTGAGCAGTGTGCACACACTGTCAGGGCCTTTTCTGCTCCTGAGCACCCACCAGCGGGGAGGCTGGGGGTGCACAAGGAGTTGGGAGGGTACACAGCTGGGACAGCTGACCCCAACAGACCAAAGGGACATTCCATACCATATGATGTCATGGTCAGCAATAAAAATCTGGGGGAAGGAGGAAGTGGGAACTTTCAGAGTTACAGCATTTGTCTTCCTAATTAACTGCAGTGCATGATGAAGCCCAGCTTTCCTGGGGATGGCTGAGCGCCTGCCTGATGATGAGAAGTGGTGAATGAATTTCTTGTTTTCCTTTGTTTGCTTGTACAACTTTTACCTACTAAATCATCTTTATCTCAACCCACAGATTTTGTCTCTTTTACGCTTCTAATTCTCCCCCCATCCCACCAGGGGGGAGTGAGTGAGCAGCTGTGGGGTGCTTTGTTGCCAGGAGAGGTTAAACCACAACACCTGTCAATCTTGCTTCACAGGCCAAATTCACCATGAAATTCAACAGACATCAAAAAGGCACCAACACAAAATCAATCAGGAATAAAAGAGAATGTGAGGTCTGTAGAGCAATGTCAAGTGTTGGGGTAAGAATACTGAGCAATAAATAGAAACAATGTGACAAGATTTCAACAAGATTTATATAAAACAAATTTAATTAAGATTCAACAGAAAGTGGGGGGAGTGGAAAGAAGAATTGATCAAACTACCCATGATGTCATTTGTGAGTGTAGAGTCTGGGATTTCTAAGAAAACAACTGGCCAATCATGGGGCACAAATTCTGTGCTGAAGTCCTAGATGCTGAAAATAAGTTGATATAATGACTACTCAACAAGGTATAATTTTCTAGAAAAAGAAAGAGTCAACACGGATAATATGTACTGTTTGCCCGTAAATTTTTGTCTCGGTATCCAAGCCAGAGCTTTGGATAAGAAAAGCTCATAAATGAAATTTAGATTACTGAGAACAGTAAAATCAAACCAGTTGATTATTTAGAAATTATTTTGCTTCTCATCTTCTGAAGAGTTCTTGTAGTAGACTCACTTGTGTTCACTATCTGTTTTTCCTCACCTTTTAGGGAAAAAGTTAATTTATTTTCAAGGATCACCTCCTCCAGTCTTGGTGTGGTCCGTTGACACATGCAGAATTCAAATAAAGGTGGCATGAGACCTCCATAGGTGAACTCCTGACTGGTAGCAAACATAAAAAGGAAGGGTGAAGAAGGTGGAAGGCAAGGACACTGTCAGAAGGTGCAGGAATAGGGTTAGGACAGCCAAAGCCCATCTGGAGTTGAATCTGTTTAGGGATAGGAAGGGTTATAAGAAAGGCTTCTGCAAGTAGATCAGCAGTAAATAGAAAACTAGGGAAAGTGTGGGCCTACATCTAACTGGGGAAGGAGGTCTTATGACAAAGGACACAGAAAAACCTGACTTGGTGTTTTCTTCATCTCATTCTTCATTGGCAAGTGGAGCCTTCAGGAATTCTAAGCCCCTGAAGGGTAGGCAAGAAGGGGGATTGCATTAGGAGAGGTTTTGCCTGCAGGTTGAAGGAGCTGATCCTTCCCTTCTGTTCAGACCCAGTGAGACACACCTGGAGTGCTGGGTCCAGCTCTGTCCTCTCCAGTACAAGAGACATGGACATACCAGAGCAACTGTAGCACAGGGCCACATAGATGATGGACGGGAGCATGTCTCAGGTGAGGAGTGGCTGACAGAGCTGGGACTGTTCAGCCTGGGCTAAAAAAGAGGTTCTGGGGGGATCTTAGCAATGTGTATACATATACATCATGAGGGATTGAAGAATGTGGAGTTAAACTCTTTTCAGTGGTGCCCAGTGGCAAAGAAGGAGTCAACAACCACAAACAGAAATACATGAAATACCATTTGAACAGAAGAAAACATTTTTTATTGTGAGGTTGGTTGAACACTGGAGCAGGTTGCCCAGAAGACTGTGAATATCTCCATCCTTGGAGATATTCATAACTTGACTGTACACGATCATAAGCAACCTACTCTAGCTGATTCTGCTTTGAGTAATAGTATTGAACTAGACTGTCCCCATAGATGCCTGCCATCCTCAACCATTCTATAAGATCCTATAAAATGGTTAAAATAATGAAAAAACCATCAACAGCTTTTGCTTACTTCACAATACTTTCAGACATATCACTGTAATCTGTTTTATAATAGCATATAGTTTTACATCAGTAGAAGAAAACTTATTTTGTCTCAACTCTGCTAAGATGGTGTTTTTAGTGCAATAATATTAGCTGTGACTTCTGAAGTCACAGACATTCAGCAAAACTGGCATTTAAATAAAGAATCTGCACAAGAACAACATGCCCCAGAACCCTTTTTAAGTAGACAAGTTTAATATTTAACATCAATTTCATTCTCTAATTGTTAATTTTCACCATTACTGCAGTCCAATTTTTGAAAGTGGACTGAAGTAATAACAGAGGAGAGACAGTTACGCTGAAGTCTGGAGAATACTTTTAAAAGCACAGTCCAACTGAACAGATACCTAACAGTGTGCTATTTGGAATCTAGAAAAGTCGGACAAGAAAAACACTCACAACAAGCCTACACATTCTGTTGCATTTGCACCATAATGAAAATAAAATTAATAAATAAAGGGCTTATGTTTTGCAGTCTCTTTGTTTAAGTATGTGCGACTGAAGCAGAACCCAATTTCCACATACTGAGAAGCTTTATGATATTACTGGTGACAGCAGTCTGTCCCGACTCTGCTCATTGGGAGCTTAGACCCTGTGATGGCCTGAAATCCTGCCGAGGTTTGAGAATTACACTGCTGATTGCAGTACTAGCATTTTGCCAGTCTTGCTTTGTAATGTCATGACTATACCTAGGTCTCAAAGAAGAAAGAAATTAGTGATGTAGGGAACCGCCCTTTGGCTGGTTCTGTACAATCTGTGGGGAAATAGCTCCCTCTGCTATTTATCATATTTTTTTTTAGTAATACTGATGGAAAAAGAGAACAACATAAGAGGAGTTTCTTGCTGTACCACACCATGTAAATGCATGAGACACTAACTGACCTAAGGCTTTACCATTTAAATCAAGAGCACAGGCAAAGGATGGTGAAAGACTTAGTGGAGAGAAAAGAACACACATGCAATGAATATAATATCAATTCTGATGACTTGTTTTAAATGTTGGTACCAGATTTTCAGTCCTTTCAGTGGGTTTGTGGCAGAGATAACAAAACAAAGAAGAAAGTGTAAAGGTGCTAGAACAGAGTGGGAACTTTCATAAATGGAAGTAGAGTGATAGTGGCATTGGAACCTCTCATAGATTTGGGGGACTTTTTGAAGTTATGGTGTAGCACAAAACAAAACTTAATGTGTGCTGATACATATTTAGTGGTTGTTATAGTATATGTGTGCTCACAGATCAGTTTCTAACATCAAGTGTAAAGGGTACAGACTACAAGTATCAACTGTTTTAGGAACATCATTTGCATTTGCAGTCCTGATTATTGGTTTGGCTGACCAATACCAGCTGATTGTTTCATGGCAGAATATGCAACCCTGAGAGTAACATGGCTGTTCCTTCCCCACAACCTGTTTGACTTCTCTTCTCCCTGACCAGCCAACAAAACATGTTAATCAAATCCAAGATTACTGTCATAGTCACCTACTCAGAACTAGCTTGAAACTGTTGAAATCACATATTTAGCAGTTATAAGGAGTTAGTCTGAAGGTAAGAGAAGCATGCTAACTAGTTGGAATTAATTAGGTAACAACACCAGAGACAGAAACTTTATTTTTCTGACTAGAACTGCTGCATGAAAAGTGTTATGACTGGGTGACATGGCTATTTTTACTGCTGGTTGGTTCACTGCCTGTAGGTGGAATGGAATCTGATGTTTTTACAGTGGCTGATGTGAGGTGCATCAGAGGATCTGTCAATTGCACTGAACACTATCAGCAACTCCAGTGGGTCATGAACAAAGAATATTACCTGTATGTGTGCAAATCTTTTGCTTCATGTAACAGCAGTAACACATACCAGTCCAACTGGAGCTACTGTATGAACAAAAGTTCTAAGCATGAATATTTATAATTTATGGTGATGATGATGATGGTGTGTCTCCCAGAAGACACCTGGAAACATACATATAAAGAAAGAGGGAGACATTTGCCAATAAATCTAGCAAGGGCTGAAGAGGGCAGGGACTCCTCAGAAATCTTTTCAGGCCTTGAAGTATGGAAGTGTGTGAGCAAGCATACATGCAGGATAACAGGGCAATATAACAAACACCAAAAAATTCACTGACTAGGTCACCAGCTACATGCATGTGTGATTTCCAAACTCTAGCCTCTCACTCACACTGCACAAGAAGCCACAAACATGAATGAAGAGCACCAGCAACTATAAATTCAAATGCTCAAAACAGAGAATAGTTTTGATTTCAAAAATTGCTGCATTTTTAATGGCTATCTAATTTCCAAGTCTCTACTTTTTTTTTTTTTTTTTTTTTTTTTCTTTTTTCCTCTCCATAGTCTTGGATCTAGAACCTCACTTCTTATGAAATAGCTGAATTTCTAAAATCATGAGTTGTAAGAACTCAAGCTTTGATACATATTCTGTCAAAACTAAGGTCCAAAAAAATTGCATAGATTACACTGTTTTAATTCCCTTTTCAGATCTCATGATTTTAGAGTGGAAGTCACAAAGCAGAACAAAATTTATCAGCCCATTAGTTAAATCTATTCTATCCACTTAAGAATGGTGAGATCTATGACCTGTAGCCAACTTTCCATGGTCAACCAAAAGAACAAAATATATATCCCAGATCTTCCACATAGAAAAAAAATCCTAATATTTGTAAACATAAGACTAAAAATATTTAAATTTTAACTTTCTTGCAACATAATTTCAAAAAGTAGTACAAGACATATTCAGATCAAGTTGTTGTACTAGACAAAGAATAAATAACATACCTTAAGACTTAGTGGGTTCGAGTCCTGGAGACGATCACTGCACCTTTGGAAATAAAATTCACCTGTTAAAACTTTTGCAACCAATTTAGTTGAGGATAAAGATTCCTGTTATTTGAAGTCTTTTACTTAACACAGTTTGCAAGCTTCTTTAGTACCAAGCAGCATGCTCTTTTCTGACTTAAAGCTGTCTTCAAGAGGTGAGTGTAAATTTGTTCAGTCCCTCAGTTCCTCTTTTGAAGTTTCTGAGAAGGAGGTCCACTGTAATATATATTCCTGTCCACTCCATCCTCCCAACCTGGATTTCAGCTCATTTTGTATTACAGATCCTAGCAAGAAATCTTTCTAAAGCAACTATTTTATGAAGTGGGAATTAACAATATTTTGTACTCCCTCTGCAACACTGGTTACTGCGGCAGCAGTTAACCAAAAAACTGTTCAAAAATAAACACCAGTCTTATAGATGACAGAAAATAACATACCTAGCACCAACCTCTTACTTGGCTTTTTTGGAATGAAGGGGGATAAAACAACTGGACTTCCTCTGGTTTACAAATATGGATATGAGCACATTGGCAAAGCTTTTTATACAGAGCACTGTGAACAGCTTATTTTGCACACGAATGCTTTGATAAGTCTTTTACCATTCTAACTTCTGTTATTTGCACATATTACGTGAATGACATCATACTCTCTCATATTCTATTGTGGAGGAATCTCTGAAACAGATCCTTTGCTCCTCTATATCTAGAAAGATATCAGAAAAGTGATAGCAAATTACAGTGTTTGAGGATCTCACCTCTTGAGCTCAAGACATCAAAGCCCTCTTAACAAACAGACAACTCTGGCATATTTTTCTGAGAGTTTAGGAAGAACCTTACTCCTATGGTAGCCTGTCCTTGACATTCCTTGTTCACCTCTGCATATATATTTATAAATATATACTTATATTTATATATATATACAGACCTATATACGTATATATATATATATATATCATTGACATACATTTTTTTAAAATACTGGTTCAAAATATTTATTTATTTCTCAGCCCTTTAAAAATGTCTTCATTCATAAAACTTTAGACTTGCTACATCAAGTTTTCTGGAAGTGTGAAATTACCTATTACCCTGGAAATATGAGAGAGGTAGAGTCCAAGTACTGTACTGCTATTCTACTACAGTGGTTGCCTTATTACAATATAAGTAATATAGCCATCTTATTCATCTTAATTTCACAGGTTTAACTGCTTTTTAGTAAAATACACAGCTTACATAGACCATACAAGATATTTCCTTTAGGTTCATGTCATTAATGATCTCTGTAGGAACCATCACAGTGTTGTAAGAATCAAATAAACCTTATCTCAATAGCTGTTGCTTTATTGCCTAGTACAAATAAGTGTATTTCCCCACCTTCAACAACCTGACTTGTGACTCCCTTGTGAGAGGACAAAAGGCAATACAAAACACTTGCATACTGAATCTGGCCAGATATAGAGGGTTTGCAGATTTGAACCATGAGTGATTCAAGATTAATCTTCCATGAAATTCCAGATCATACCTTATGTCATTTCCAAATTTCCTGAAATCTTCTGTTTATCAGATAACCCCTGAAACACAAAGCTGATCTCAAAGAGAACATGTTTCCCAGGTAGCTAACTCAAAAATAAAATCAATCAAAAAAAAATAATATGTTTATGTCTCAATAAAATGATTATTAGAATTAAGTTCTGATTTTTCAGTGTAGCAAAAGCGCCTTTTTCTCTTTAAACATATACTTGTGTGTACAGTTCAGCAAACTAACACTTGTTTTATTTTAAAGACACTGAAACTTCTGACAGAGTCAATATAGACAAGTTATTTTATAGTAAAAACTTTCCAAATTTTAAAAAGGTGATATCTAACAAAATAATACACTAAAATTTGCTGATTTGAATTAATCAGCTTGAAAGAGTATCTGACAGAAATGCATTAATGTCAGGGAAGCAGATCTTCCTTCTAAAGGGAATAATTTGGGAAAACATACTGAGAATTGTTGCAACAGTAAGAAGAATGCCCTCCTTAAATTATGAACAGCTGTGAAAGGTAGAAAGAATTTGTAGTATATAATTTTTTAGCTGTAATTCATAGTTAATAAAACATATATGTCTCTAACTGCTATATCATAAACAGAACACTTAGTGTCTTGTCAAGTTTCTTCCGGAACAGCTGCACGTTACAGACCTCTTATTTTAAATCCGTATTCCCAAACAGATATTTATCAACTTGATTGCTGATGTTTTTTCAAAAAATCTCACGACTCTTAGTTCATGATATTATCTACAAAATTCTTTCCAAACATTTAGAACTAATGCCATAAAGATCATTTAGACTTCAGATGATGTAGTACCTTATGCTACAAAAATGCCAGTTTTGTTTGTATCCAGCTGAATTCAATGGAGATAGATTACCAATGGCCTCACAGCTCCTGGTCCTTAAACTCCCATTACCTTCTTTTTGACAATAATGGATTTCTGTTTGACACAACCACACTGAAGTCAGGACTATCAGCTCCAATAATCACTGATGTGAAAGTAGATGAAGCCCTTCAGTGGTGACTACATTACATTTCACTAAGGCACATCACACATTGAAATTTACATATACTCTGACATATTTATTTGGTTTAAAGAAAATAAACTTTCATACACTGAAAACAAAACAATCTCACAACATATGAACATACTTCATGCACCTAGCTAATTTATTTCATCTCAAGGATTAATTAATTCACTTTCTGGCACGGTTTATTCAAATGCAAAAATAGAAATCCTGATTTGTAAAACTAATAGACAGATACATACATCAATACATCAGGTGGTGGGATTCATTTACACTAAGGAACTCTGTTCATAGTCTATTGTTGGATTTTCCTCTGTCTGCTAATAATGGCCAAATACTGCCTTGAAACAAAATTATGCCGTTGATGGAGTTGAGACAGCTTAGTGTCAGTGGCACAAAAACAATGTACAAAAATATGACTGTTTAGTTCGTTAAAGGTTTTCCAGATCTCATCTGTCTGAAAGGAAGGCAGTTGAAGGAAGCTTGACTCAAAGTCACGGTTTTTGCAGGTTTCTACTCAAATGATTCAATGACTTCAAATATCTGAGAGATGGGGAAAAAAAGAAAAAAGCCTGTGTTATTTGGCCCAGAAAGTTCTGTCAAGTACTGTCAGGTTACAGTTATAGTGTCCCTATGCTTTGAAGAAGACCTAATATCTGCTGAAAGAACAGTCTTTTTGCCACAAAATTGCCACGTTGCTGACCCTCTGAAAAATCTAGCAAATGTGGTCAAGTTACAAGAGTTGTGCAGACACTCAGCAGAGTGAACAGGAAATTCAAATTGTAGCTGCTCAGAATTGGTAATTTGTGACCAAGGAACAACCTGGCATGGAGGGCAAGAAGGCCAACTGCAGAAAGGGTTGAACTGTCTGGACGCAGGAATGGCAGGACAGAAGGACTCTCTGCAAAGGAGTGAGGTTTCTCTTGGTGATGAGACAAGAGGTGCCGCAGTGTTGTCTTGTAGCAGTCGATTGGTCGTGGAAGGTGAGTGCTCAGGGGTCACCTTTGGGCAGCAGAGCTGGGCTGAGGGATGGACCCATCACCAGTCTGAGGTGCCCCATGCTGACGCTCATGAGATTGGTACTGGTGCAACAGTACATAAGGAGTTGACTTGTGTGGCACTTTTGCAGACTCCTTGTGGAACTGCTTATGGCAGTAGGACTCCGTCCAATGCATTGTGTAATAAATCTTTTATATTTAAGCACAAATATGTTTAATTCACCTCAAGGGATATAATAAAAATTCCCTAAGAAGAGACTTGCAAGCCAGCAAGATTCTGTCTGCAGAATTGACTGGACAATAAATACGACATTTTGACACAGAGAATGGGTTTATCTCACCCACAGTTAAAACATAAACCTAATTTTTCTTTGATGATGCAGCTCAGGCAAACTACAGATCCCTGATGGGATGTCTGTGGATATTTATAAAATATTTTGGACTGAAATGCCTCATAGAAGAACAAAATGTAATGTGTATTCAGATATATAAGTAGTATGTATCCTACTATATATACCAGCAAGATAATATGAATTTCTTTTAACATAATCTATATTCTACACTGAAAACAATGGAGAATCACCAGTTCAAAAGAGTCAGCTGAGAGATCTATAAAAATAAATTTCCTTAACTGAAAACAATTAGGAATGTAATAATGAAGGCACAGTTCTCACAATAACTAAGGGATAATTACTGAGCTTGTTTTGTGACTGATGAACAATGATTTTGAAAAGAAATTTAATCACTGATTTCTTATCATATAGTTAGATGCCAAATGAGATCACATAATTATAGATGAATGAATTTCTATCCTCATTTTATATATAATCATGTCTAGCATGCTGATTACAAAAACAAGAAAAAACAGAATCTTGGGTATTTATTTCATGGAATAACAGTGAGAATTCATTCTTAGCATGCAAGGGTGGATACAGTTTTGCAGTTATAGGAAGAAGAAAATTATTCAGCCCCAATCAGCTCAACTACACCCATGGAAAAAATTTACAGGAAGTTAAAGCATGCATTTTCATGGCCCTTTATTAGGAATCAACTTCATCACAACCATCGAATGAGTGCATTGCTGGCAGGATGTGCTATAAGAAGGTACATAACCAGCAGATCCCTATCCTGGTTACATCACATGTCTTTTCATACTGTCCTGCTTTAAATACCAGTAGTTCCTTGTTTTCTCTACCCATACAATAGCCTCCACTACTTTTTCATTCTTAGTAGCTTAGTCTCATTCTTCACTGAGAGCTGCTTCTCATATTTGAAAGATACTTGAAGTGATACTGTTGTTCATTATCTGCACATGGACACCTCTTGACATGAGGTTGAGAACAATGCCATTAACATGCCACTGCCAAGTGGAACAAGAAAAATGCTACGTTCTTCTATCTTCATTCCATCTAAAAAATTCTACCTTTTACAAAGAAAAGTGACTG